GAGGCAGTGGGTCTTTTCTTGTGTTTTTTTTCACCACAATGGAGCCCTAGAACCCACAGGGGGATCTTTTTGTTCCAAAAATGGAACATATTCTTTTGTAGATTTCATTATCCATCATTAACCAAGCAACTGCATGTACATTTCTTAATGACTCTTTAACTAAATTTACAACGACAGAATACTTTGTATTTGTTTATTGTTTAGAAGAAAAAGGCCATTTTGGTAGCTTGTGAGGGAGGGATGGTTGTAGAGGTTGATGCTCCAAAACCTGGCAACTTTGACACATCTCACACTTACGAGATTAAAGGGCTTGCAATGAGGCAGTACAAGTTCAAGAGTATTAAATCTTATCTTAAGGTGAGTTTGGTTTGCAAATGTGGTGAAGTGATCAAGCTGATTTTCATGGTTTTTTTTATATTTTTTTATTTATTATTTCTCTGCTCTAGGATTTGCATGTTATATGGAAGTGAATAATGGACGGTTGACAGGTTGGTTACAAATTATTTGGAAGAGGCGAGATGTGGTTTTATATGAGAATAGAGTGGAAGATAAAAAGAGTCAGGAAAATGTCTTGTAAAACAATGACTACTAAAGAAAATTGACAGCTCATGTTAGAAATAGACAATCTTTATTCTTTGGTCATGCCGTGAGAAGGAGAAACTTATAATACATTGTGACGGTGCGAAAGTTGGAGGGAAGAAGAGGCAGAGGGAGACCAAGGGAGGAAATAATGGACAGTTTGACATCATCCCATGGAAGATCATCTGTGTCAGAATTTATTGAAAGTACAGGAGAGAGAAGGTTGTTGATAGACTACCAACACGGCATGGAATAAAAGAAGCTGAAGAAAAAGGATTTCATTTTGAGTAAAGTTGACTTAGGAACTGACATCACAGCACTCGGGACATTCCCATAAGCACTCTATCTCCATCTTCAGCAGCCGGTCCTGAGTTCCAATACCAATGGTACCAGAAACAGTCTGATGACAAAGGTGCAAAACAAAGCAATGCACATTACTGCGGGGTGCACAAGAGACACCTCATGTGTAGTAGTGAGGTACCTTCTTGACTTCCCTACTATGAATTATAGGATCAAGATCTGGAGGGCTAACACATACCTCAAGGTAAAGCTCCAATCTAAAGCACCCTTTGCATCACATGCTCTTCAGTTAAAAAAAAAAAAAGGGCAAGACTAAGATGGGGCAAATCATGGCTGGATGTGGCAGAGGATGATATCACGCAGGTCTGCAGCCTTACAAACATCCATCCTGGTGAGGTATAGATACTAGTGCCTGAAGCACTCAATCTCACCTTCTCCAATGTCGTCATGCTTGATATGATGTGTCGGGAACATAATCCTGTTGCGTTCTGCGAGCTTATCAGTGACAAGTCAGATGAGACAAATGTGCCGATCTTCACAGATGGGTCCATTATACAAGAGCATAATAGGTTATGGACATTTACAGCTCGCTCTGCAAGTAGAACAGTCCAAGAAGCCAGTGGTGCCTTCTCCATGACTACCTGCAGCATGTCCATGGAGGTGATGATGGTGACACAAGCTTCCATGTGGCTAGATTACAGGACTATTCCCACATGTGTGTGCTGAGTGATTCTTTGAGCATGATCTCTCGGGTATAGGCAGGCTCGTTACACAGACAGTGGATTGAGTCATTGCAAAACTCTCCTGTGTGTGTTGTTACCTTCATATTTGTCCCAGGGTATGCAGGTGTTGTTGGCAATGAAAGAGCTTATAGATTGGCAGGTTCCGCATAAATTGTAGATGGCCAGCCCATGGATCATGCAGACATCATCAATGCCCTTAGAGAGACATTGGAAGCAGCGTGTCCACATCACTGCTAAGAATACGAGAATTAGGAGTAAAGATCGGCACAGCCAAACATGAGAAGCACACTGGACGCACACAAAATCTTATCAGTCAGCATAGGACTGGCACTATTAACTGTGGGACGATGATGAATATGTTGAGGGGGGAATCTCAGCACCTATGGGCGCGTCCGGAGTGCTGTGAAGATAATCCAACTCATAATTCAGCAGTCTGATTAAATGTCCATCTTGCTTTTTCTCTGAGCATGGAGTATTGGCCAGATCCTCCTTGTCACTCCTCGCTGCATCCCTCTCACCAGACTGTGATGATCCGTTTGCTCCTCTGAATTACACACCTGCTGCCATAAGGTCTTAACCACTTCTTCCCTATCATGTATCAATATTCTACCAAGTCAGCCAGTCTGTCTGCTTGTTTTTTCCCCCCAACATTCTGAAAGATAAACACCCAGTGGTTCAAAGAGCCAATATTCAGATGAAAGTTCAACATGAATGAATCTCAGAAACTCTGATCAACCAAATAACATATTTGTTTTGTGGCATCCTACAGTTAATGGCGTCCGTGGCTTAGGTGTTGCGAGTCCGACTCGTAATTCCAGCATACCCCAATTGAAACCTACTGCTGGCTGCATGGATTGTTATCATGGTATGGGGCGTTGCAGGTCAACCCAGCCTAAAATGGGTACCAGGATTATGTCCTCGGGAAGTAAAGACGACCTGCATAATGCTGACCACATCACCCACTTAGCGCCGAGTGGTCTGTAAAAATATGGGTGCTCTTCCCATATGCCCGATGCACCTAAAGGTGTGAGAAGAGATCTTTACTTACTTACGTTTTGCCATACAGTTAAGAAATAACCAGCCCACTCATTTATTTGTTTAACATGTGCTCTGAAGGTTGCCAGTTTGGTTTTAGACTGCGTTGTTCAGTTGTTGAGATTTCTGGGACTCAACAAAGTATATTATCTGTGCAGCACTTCTGACAACAGGTGGTTACTTCTCTTTAGAAAGAGATTAAGGCAGATTGGATAAAACTCTTATGAAGCGACTGAGAGCGCCCTGGCTCGGTTGCCGATCATCTGATAGACTGCGACGCCTAGCGGCACAAGCAGATTTTGACAAAAGAAGAAGAAGGATAAAACTCTTCCTGTGTGGGTTTCCAGGTTTCATTTTTGAGGGGGAGGGGAGAAGAATAAACTCAATGCTCCCCTAATAAGCAGGTCGTAAAAGGCAACTAATTAGGGGTGTTTCTTTCAAAGTCAGAGTGCAGAGGTGAGTAACCAACAGTCTGCATACAAACAAGCAAGATTTGTAAAATGGATGCACACACATGGATGTGCTACAAAACTAAAGTTTGTGGAACAAGACTAAAGTCAGAAGTGGATGAAAAGCCAGAACTTTCCACTGAAGTTTACAGCCTGTGAATGTGAAGAAGAAGAAGGATGGATAACACTCAGTACAATCCTGTGATCCTCTCATATTTAAATATTGTGGATGAGGTTTGTAAAGAATGGCTTTAACAATAAATGGATAAATCCAAAAGACTCAAATACGAGAATCACACAGGAGAATCTCAGCACAATGCACAACCTCTGTGGTGCCAGCTAGAATCCAAATATGTGTGTATCAGAATAGCATATGCTATAAATGTAGATTGTCATCAAGGAAGATTTGCTAATAAACAGCATCCTGTTTTGGAAAAAGTGACTCAAGAAGTCACTTATATTCTGTGCCCATTTTCATGTTCATCGGCCCCTGCCCCTACTTCCTGGTACTATGCCTTCTGCTATTATTTTTTACAATCCGTCGTGGTGCTTGATATGACCAAAATATTTTAGCTTCTGAGACAGGAAGCTTTTTATTAGCCAATCTTCCTTGATGTTCAGATCTTTCAAGATGTCATTATTTCTCCTCTTCTTTGTCCAAGAAATTCTGAAAATATTTCTATAGCATTTCAGCTCAAAGCCCCTATTCTCTTTCTTAAGGATGCTTTATACACATAAAAAAAAAAAAAATTACGTTTTTGTTTCCAGATTAATTCTTCTCTTTAGTTATGCCTTTCAGTTTGTGATGCATATATTTGTTCAATTATTTATTATTTAAGATGTCCTATGTTTTTTTTTTTTTTTTGTAGCATGAAGAAGAACTTCGGAGACTGAAGACTGAAGAACAGGAACGGAAGAAGAAGGAAGAAGAAGAGAGACAAAAGAGACTAGAGAGAGGATTAGAGACAGAATCTGAGCAAGGAGATGAAGAAGGTAAACATGAGTTGTCAGTGTGGGTTTTGTGATATTCTCTTAATCTAAATTTTTTTAGTTTAAATTAGTCACAAGAAATATTAAACCACAGGGTAATGTTAGTTACTAATTTAGAATAATTCCAGCTTGTTTGTACTTGTTTGTTGGTCTGTTATTATATAACCTCTTTTAATCTGTTCAACATATTTCTGTTTTTATAGAAAAGAGACCAAAGACTCCGCAAGCAGAGTGGCATCCCTTTATTCCTGAGGTACCAAGCCCAGTTCTTCATGCCCGCTATTCAAATGAAGAAGGAAAATTCTGGTTGTCAATGGTAGTTTGTTTCTGGTTATAATAATGTTTATTTTTTAAACAAAGAAATTCATCTCTTATGTAAATTATTATCAACATGTATGCATTTACATTATTTTTTGCTAATTTAGTTTGAAGTCAAGGCTTACAATAGGCTCTTTATCCATCGTTTTCTAAGAATTATTCTGTAACATTTAAGTTTAAAATATCAAATGTGCTTTTTCTTTAGTTGATCATGTAGTAGGTGGTGGGTAGTTGTACCCCACCAGGACATCACACAAGCGATAAACACCCGGTGACACAAAGTGCTACCATGTGGATGAGGATCACCCGTGGAGAGGTCCCAGAAACCCCTTTCAGCCGTTAGGCCATATCCATGGCTAGGCCTTATCTATGCTCCGGCTATATTTAAGGCCCCCCGGCAGAAGCCAGAGTGGGGCTTCAAATAATAAAAAAAATGTTTCCCACACGGGGACAGCTTTTGATCATAAATTGATCCGTGACTGATTAAAATATTAAATTTAATTTGTTTTCCTGTCATCACCAGGGAGATTTTGATGCCGGTTACCTCTACGAGTGCAAGTTCACAAGCCCAGAGGAGCAGGCAAACATGATGCCAGATAACATCGACAAACCATTGAGGGCTATACCTGTAGTGGAGTCTTGTGATGTTCCCATTAATGTTATCAAGTTTAGGTAAAGATTCACCACAACCCTTGCATTAGCAAAGCTGTGATTTTATGCTGACTGTTTCTTCTTTTTTCTTTATGTTCATTGGCTGTAAAATCTGGCAGAAACTTCTGGTTATTCGTTCACTTCAGGGTTTTAGTCTTGTTACAGAACTTGAGTTTTGTTTGCAAATGCACTTTACAGCTCTGGCTTATTTGTGGGCAGACTGTTGGTTTATCCTCTCTCAGGCAGATGCACTCTGACTGAAGGAAACACCTCTAATTTGCCAACTTTCACAACATTCGTGTGTGTGTGTGTGTGTGGGGGGGGGGGGGGGGGGGGGGGGGGGAACAAGAGAGGTAGGGGGGGGGGGGGAGGGGATCAGTTTTTTGCTTAACCCCCTAAAATGAGGCCATAAAACTCACACAGGGAGAGACTCTTGTGTAATCCATTCTATATTCTCATCATCCTCATGTATCAGGTCCTTTACAGAATGTTGTACTCATCATAGCACTTTGAAAAGCGTCCCTGCCCATTGCTAATGCCCCCTGCTTTATGTATCTCCATACACGCATTATCCCCATACACACAGTATCCCCATACACACACTATCTCCATACACACAGTATCCCCATACACACACTATCTCCATACACACAGTATCCCCATACACACATTATCCCCATACACACACTATCCCCAAATACAGTATCTCCATACACACAGTATCAATATACACACAGTATTCCTATACACACAGTATCCCCATACACAGAGTTTCCCCATACACACAGTATCTCCATACACACAGTATCTCCATACACACATTATCCCCATACACACAGTATCCCCATACACACATTATCCCCATACACACAGTATCTCCATACACACAGTATCCCCATACACACAGTTTCCCCATACACACAGTATCTCCATACACACATTATCCCCATACACACAGTATCCCCATACACACATTATCCCCATAGACACATTATCCCCATACACACAGTATCCCCATACACACAATATCTCCATACACACACAGTATCCCCATACACACAGTATCTCCATACACACAGTATCTCCATACACACAGTATCCCCATACACACAATATCTCCATACACACACAGTATCTCCATACACACAGTATCTCCATACACACAGTATCCCCATACACACAGTATCCCCATACACACAGTATCCCCATACACACAGTATCTCCATACACACAGTATCTCCATACACACAGTATCTCCATACACACAGTATCTCCATTTTGTATTTTCCTTTCTAAAGCAACTCTGGACAGCAAGTCCTCTTTGGTATGGGTAATGGCCAGATAAGAGTTCAACAGCTGAACAAACTTCGAGATTTGGCTGAGCTTGGCCCACATTGGACCTTAAACATGCATGACAATAATTATGGATATGTAACGTCAATCATCACCAGTTTTGATGGTAAGTAATGGCCAAATATGGATATATGTGCCTATTCCACCATATGTTTTTGTGTATCATATTTGGATATGTGACACCACTATGTGTTTGTATGTATAGTATGTTCATGTTTGATAAGATGCAAAGACTGTCTGGAAAAGAACAAGCCATATTAAATAAAAGAAAATGGTTTGCCTGATATTAATGTAACTTGGCAGTCAAATATAGGTGTCAGTCTTACGTAAATGTTAGCAATGATGACATTGCTGTACCAGTCAGTGCGACCGATAAACGTCATTTAGTGAAGACATGCACTATGTGGTTGTCACATTCAAAATGGCTGAATTAAAAGAGAAAAAGATTTGCATCAGATTATGCATGTAGCTTCAGTATTCCTCTGCAGAAACTATTCAAATGATTCACAGGGCACACATGCACTCACTGCACACAAATATGTTATAGGAAGTTACTGTATTGGTGAGATGAGACTGTTGTGCTGGTCCATAAAGTACAAAGAGAAGAAGAAAATAAACAAGATGATGAGGATTTGACAACAGTGATGAAATTGCAGCAAACAGTAAATGAAGAAGAGAAGGGGGAGGAGATGGAAGAAAAAGAAAAGAGGAGGTGGAAGAAGAAGAGGAAGAGGAGAAGGAAGGAGAAGGATGAAGAAGAAGTAGTACCCGTGTAGGTTCTGAGGCCCCATTGTGGGGAAAAACAAGAATAGACCCACTGCCTGCCAAAAAGCATGTCATAAGAGTCCACTAATTGGGAGCTTCCTTCGAAGTCGTAGTACACCTGCCTGAGAGGCAAGAAACTAAAAGTCTGCATCCAAATGAGTCACACCTGTGAAACGGATGTACATGCAGCACTTAGGTTCTGGAACAGCACTAGAGTCCAGAAGTGGATGAACAACCAGAAGTTTCCGCTGTAGTTTACAGCCGGTGAACGTGAAAAAGAAGAAGAAGAAGAAGAAGAAGAAGTTAAAGAAGAAAAAGCAGAAAAAGAAGAAGGGGAAGAAGAAGAAGAAGAGATAATAAGAAACATGTGAATTTAAATGCATCTTTAATCTACATTTATTGTTTAGGGGTATTAAATAGGCGATATGCATATACTCAAACCTTACCTATTCCTCTGTTATACATTTTTGTAACTGATTATTTAACATCTACTATGAGAGTATGATTTTAATAATGTTATATTATACATATGTAAAGTAAATAGTGTTTAAAGTAAAAGTTAAGTAAACGTAATGTTTAAAATAAAAGTAAAGTAAAAGTACAGTTTAAAGTAAAGCAAAGTTTAGTAAAAGTATAATATAAGAATAAAATAAAAGTAAAGTAAACATAAGTAAAAGTAAAATAAAAGTAAAGTTATACAAGTAAAATAACAGTAAAGTAAAAGTAAAGTTTAAAGTAAAAGTAAAGTTTAAGTGAAGTAAAAGTACAGTAAAATGGCAGTAAGGTTTAAAGTAAAAGTAACGTTTAAAGTAAAAGTAAAGTAATCATAAAATAAAAGTACAGTAAAATAATGGTAAAGTTTAAAGTAAAAGTGAAGATACCAAAGTTTGAAGTAAAAATAAAGTAAATGTAAAGTAAACGTAAAATAACAGTAATGTTAAAGTAAAGTAACAGTAAAGCATAAAGTAAAAGTGGGCATAAAGTGAAAGTAAAGTAGAAGTAAAATAACACTAAAGTTTAATGTAAAGGTAAAGTAAAAGTTAAAAAAAAAAGTACAAAAAAAGTTTAAAGTCAAAGTAAATTTTAAAGTAAAAGTTAATGTAAAGTTAACAGTAAAAGTAAAATTTAAAGTACATGTAAAGTTAACATTAAAGTGAAAGATTCTTTTCATGCCAGTAACATTTGGGCATATAGTGCTAGACTAAATCACGCAGGTCACCATTACTTTCCAGAACTTACCTGATGCTCATTTTAGAAATTAATCCACTCATCTGTGACTGAAAAGCTTCGTGACAAATATGGGGAGTGGAAACAGCACACACATGCATGCACTCACACACACATGCACTTACACACTCACACACACACACATACACTGTATGTTTCAGCAGGAGGCTGATTTTTCTTGTATGTATGTGTATGCTGTTCCCCCACCCCTTCTTTATTTAATTAAGCTTCTCAAAATGTTGAATCAACATGATAGCACTTGGGACAATCTCATATTGGCTCAGTCCCCATCTTCAGCAGCAAGCCAAGAGACCCAATTCTGATGGCACCAGTAACTGTCTGATTATACATCCCTCTTGCCTTCCCCTTTAGTGTTGAGCATCGGCCTGTTCCTCTGGTAGCATCTCACAGTGCCATTCTCCTCAGACCGTAATGATCTTTCAGTGCCTCCGCACTGTTCACTCACTCCCAAAGGGCCCTCACAACATCCAGCTTGTCATACATCAGTTCACAAAGTGGTGCAGAACTGGCCAGTCTATCTGTCTGCTCATTTCCCAACACACCGGCATCACCTGGAGACAATATCCCAAGGACCTTAACTACCCGGGATATTTAAGCTTCTCAGTCCCAGTTCAGTGGATTAATTTCTTGGTATTAGCTAGACTGTTTTTATTTACCCATTATTTCAATGTTTTATTGACAGGGACTATGGTGTTGAGTACTGGAGCAGATGGGAACTGTTTCCAGTATTCTTTCATGTCACAGGCAGATTTAGACAGACAGGTCAAGGAGAATAAGGCAAAACTGCCATCAGCTAAGGTAAGAGTTCTCCTCCTCCTCCTCCTTGTTGTTGTTGCCGTTGTTGTTGTTGTTGTTGTTATTGTTGTTGTTGTTGTTCTTCTTCTTCTTCCTCTTCTTCTTCCTCTTCTTCTTAGTCTTCTTCTTTTTCTTCTTCTTCTTCTTCTTCTTCTTCTTCTTCTTCTTCTTCTTCTTCTTCTTCTTCTTCTTCTTCTTCTTCTTCTTCTTCTTCTTCTTCTTCTTCTTCTTCTTCTTCTTCTTCTTCTTCTTCTTCTTCTTCTTCTTCTTCTTCTTCTTCTTCTTCTTCTTCTTCTTCTTCTTCTTCTTCTTCTTCTTCTTCTTCTTCTTCTTCTTCTTCTTCTTCTTCTTCTTCTTCTTCTTCTTCTTCTTCTTCTTCTTCTTCTTCTTCTTCTTCCTTTTCTTCCTCTTCTTTTTCTTCTTCTTCTTTGACATTTGCAAAAGATCTGCTACATGATGATGATGAGAAAATCTTCAGGGAAATAAAATGGCTAGCATGGTACTGACCATTTCATTCAGTTGACATTGTTCCTGCGTAGTTAGCATCCTTTGGAAGCCAGGTGTGTTGTGGAACAAACAGGCAGATAGACTGGTTGGCTCTGCACCACTTGTGGTGAATTGATGCTTGACAAGCTGCGTGTCCTAAAGGTCCTTTGAAAGCTAGTGAACAGTGCGGAGGAACAAAAGGATCATCACAGACTAAATGGATGGTGCTGCGATCGATGAATGACCAGAAGATCTGTCTGATGCTAAACTCCTAAGGGAAAGGTGAGACCGATACACAATCAGGCTGTTACTTCTGCCATGAGAACTGGGACTCTGCGCTTGCTGCTGAAGATGGGGACAGAATGTTTATGAGAATATTCCAGGTGCTATGATGTGGATTCCTTATTCTACATTCAAAAACATTCAACATTCCAACAAAATTAATTGCACCTCATTTGGTTTCCCAAATCTATTACAATGGGATAGAAATGGAGTGTTTCTCCCTCTTTTGCTTCATAAAAAATGTTGCAGCTTGTTGTAAAACAGATTTCAGCAGTGTAAAAAAATTGTGTCTCTTGCATGAAATATTTCAGAAAGTTGCAGAGAAAATTGTGGACGATATTGATGATCCAAATGCATACAGGTGAGCTAAGTCATGGAAGGATCTAGAATAAATGTGCATATTTGAATTGTTGGATGGATAGGTGTGGTCATGGGTGTGTAAGTGTGTGTGTATGTGTGTGTGTGTATGTGAGTGTGTTTGGGTTGTTGGATCGATAGGTTTGGTCATGAAAGTGTGTGTGTGTGTTTGGGTTGTTGGATCGATAGGTGTGGTCATGGGTGGGTGTGTTTGGGTTGTTGGATCGATAGGTGTGGTCATGGGTGTGTATGTGTGTGGTGTTTGGGTTGTTGGGTGGATAGGTGTGGTCATGGGTGGGTGTGTTTGGGTTGTTGGATCGATAGGTGTGGTCATGGGTGTGTATGTGTGTGGTGTTTGGGTTGTTGGGTGGATAGGTGTGGTCATGGGTGGGTGTGTGTGTGTATGGGTTGATCAGTATGGACATGTGTGTGTTTGTGTCTGTGCATTTGGATTGTACGAAGTCTCACCTTTTCTGTTACTGTTATTTTTAACATTATAATAAAGATTATACCTTTACTGTTATTGTTGTTTTTATTATTATAATGTTGTTGTTATCGATCCAGCAGCGCATGAGCTTTCGCCCTTTGGCCCAATGCCATGTAGTGGAATTTGCATGTTTTCACAAGCTGTTCTTTTCCTCCGTACAAGGTGTTCCACTTGTCTGGTCTCGGAGGGAGTAGCGTTCTTCTTGTCTCACTGAGTTTTGGGCACTCAAAGAGATGGTGTTCAACAGTTTCGTAGGGGTAGTTACATAGCTGGCACTCTGGGGAGTGTTGTGGCTGTATTCTGTTTAGGTGTCCATTGAGTGGAGTATGTTGCGTTCTAAGTCTGAAGATGGTGGCCTGGTCCCTTCTTGTTAGATGGTTAATGCTGTCATTAGGATCAGGGCCAGACATATGTCTATAAACCTCTCTTCCAGTGTCTCCCATGGCCCATCTGTTCAACCAAGTCTCTTTGTTTATAGCTCTTATCAGTGTTTTTGCTGTCTGGAGGGTTGTCGCTGTAGGTGGTTGTTCTTGTGTTGCTCCTTTCTTTGCCAATCTGTCAGCTCTGTCATTACCTGGTGTGCCGGAGTGACCTGGAATCCACTGCATCACTATTCTGATGTTGTATGAGGTAATAAGCTGATCGGCATCCAGGATTATCTTGGCTATGTCAGTTCTGCAGCGTTCATTGCCCTCCAGAGCTTGAAGGGCAGACATTGAATCTGTGAAGATGACAATATTTTGGACCTTTGAGGGGTAAACATCCATTACAGTCTTTAGGTGGTATACTGCTGTTTCCAGTGCAATTATTTCAGCTTCATAGTTTGAACAGAATTCCCCGCATGCATCAAAAATCTCTTCAACAGATCCATCGGGATAACCTATGTAGATTCCGTAACCTGCTTTAATGGTAGCTTTAAATGCTGATCCATCAGTATAGACATGTATCCATTCTTGGGGGTAAGAATCAACGGTCTTTAGTGATGAGTTCATAAGAGCGATTGGGTCGGACTGTTTGGTTTCCTCGCCTACCAATTTAGTTTGGACTTCTGGAGCTTTAAAGCGAGCATGTGGTGGTAGGTTTTTTGCAACATTCTGAATTCCTTGACGTCTTTCTGGGAGGTGGTATCTGTCCTGAATTTCATTAACACAGTGTAAAACCGATTTGTGCTTTATTCTTTGTTTGGATTCCCAGTTTTCTACAAGATGTCTATTAGGATGGTTACGATTTTTCCTAACGCATCTTTCATAAATTTCTAAAGTGGCTTTTTCTCTCCGCAACCCGAGGGGTTCCACATTTGTATGGATTTCACATGCAGCAGTTGGTGTAGACTGCATAGCTCCGCAGATTAATCGGAGGGCATTATTTTGTACTCTGTCAAGAGTCTCTAGGTTAGTTTTGGAACAAGTTGTAAGCAGTGAGTTGTTGTACTCTATCACAGAGCGAACATATCCTAGGTATAAGCCCCTCAGAGTTTCCTTGTCTGATCCCCATGATGTACCTGCAAGTCTCTTTAATAACTGTAACCGCCTCAATGCCTTATTCCTGATGTTTTCAATATGGTTCTTGAGGCTGAGCTGCGGGTCAAGTGTGACTCCAAGGTATGTGGGATGCTCTTCTTTCATCACTTGGTGTTTGTCTAACCTCAGGTTAATATTCTTCCTTGCTACTTGGTGGCTTTTGGTAAAGATTGTGTAGACCGTCTTTGCACAGTTAATCTTGAGTTTCCATCTTTGGCAGTAATCATGCAGTCTTCTAAGATCTCCATTCAGTCTTTGGGCTCCACTTTCCACATTTTCATGACTCTGCCATATTGCTAGGTCATCAGCGTACAAGGCTTTTTCGGCCTTGATTTGTTCTGGCAGGTCATTGATAAAGATTAGGAATAGTGTACAGCTCAATGATGAGCCTTGTGGCAAGCCCTCCTCCAAGACTTCTTTAGAAGAGATTGCGTTGTGCATCTTAGTCTGGATTGTTCTATCTATCAGGAAGTATTTCACCCAGTTATACAATCTGCCATGTATTCCTATGCTCATCATCTTCATCAGGAGACCTTTTCTCCATACTCTGTCATAGGCCTGCTGGAGGTCGACAAAGACTGCCACTGTGTGTTTCTTATTCTGGAAGCCATCATGTATTCTTTGTGTCAGTCTGAACAGCTGGTCTTCTGTGCAGCTGTTGGTTCTGAAGCCTGCCTGTTCATGGCATAGAACACCAGAACTCTCAAGGAACCAATATAAGCGCCTGTTTATCATTCTTTCTGCAACTTTGCCCAAGCATGATGTTAAGGATATCGGGCGGTAGCTTTTGGGGTCATCTGGAGGCTTTTTGGTTTTAAGGATGGGGACGATATATGCATTCCTCCATGCCCTTGGAAGTTTGTTTGACCTCCAAGTTTTATTAATAAGCCTGAGAACTACTTCTCTCCCAGACCGGCCAAGATGTAGCAGCATTTCGTTGTGGATCTTATCTGGGCCTGGAGATTTTCTAGGTTTTAATTTCTTCAGGGCTTGCTCTAATTCATCCATGCTAAATTCATTTTCAAAAAGGGAGTCGCTGGCTGTTGGAGCTCTCTCTTGTTTCTTCAACTGAGAGAGCTGTGTTCTATCGAGTTCTGACAGCTTACCTGCTCTGTTAACCGAGGCAAAATAATGATTGAAATGTTCTGCTTTCTTCTTGTCTTCAGTGATTGTCTTACTCCCATCTGTCACTGGTTTTGGGTTCACCCTTCTACTTTCTCCGGAGAGGTTTTTAACTAAAGTCCATGCTTTATTTCCATTCTGTCTAAGGTCTAAGTTGGAGCAAGTTTCTGTCCATTTATCTCTTTTAGCCTTATTAACTACAAGCTTTACTCTGGCACATGCTTTATTGTATTGGATCTTTGCTTCTGTTGAACGTGCAGTTTCGAGAAATATTCTTGCTTTATTCCTTTCAGATATAGTATTTTGAATTTCTTGATTCCAAAAAGGTTTATATGCCTTCCGGCTGCCCCTTGGGATGGCTTTCGACGCTGCATTCAGGATTGCTTGTGTTATGTCTTCACAAAAAGTTTCCACACAGCTGTTGTCAATTCTTCCCAGGAGGCAGTCAGATGTTTCCTGAAATAGTTTCCAGTTTGCTTTTCGGAAATTCCAACGGGTTCTCTGCTTGAAGCGTAATTTAGGGGTGGTGCTTACAGTTGTGAGTATAGGTTTGTGGTCACTTCCTATGTCGTCCAGGACTTGGGGATAGCTTGCGTCTGCTAAGTCGGATGAGCAGATGGTCAGGTCTGGTCTGCTGAGAGATAGGTGGGCCCTGTGTAACAGTGTAGGTGTAGACTCTGTGTCCTGCAGCACTAATAGGTTAGTTGTTTCACAAGTATCTTCGATGTACTTCCCTGTGCTATTGTAGTCAGGGTAACCCCAACGTGGCGAGTGTCCGTTGAAGTCACCAACAAGAAGGGTTTTATGGTACTGTGTCTTGTATAGTTCTGGTATGTTGCATGTTGTCTGAGGTGGGCTGTACACGTTGTATATCGTGTATTTGCTTCCATTGTGCCAGATAGTTATTTTTTGCACATCTGTAGGGTGAGATGTCGACAGCATTGTTACATCTCCTTGTATGTCATTTCTGATATAGGTCACTATGCCCCGGCAGTCATTGCACTTACAGGCATAACTAGTATATCCAGTGAGATGCAGATCAGAGTCTTTATGCAGGGTTTCTTGTAGGGCAGCCACGTGTACCCTGTGGTTGTTTAGCAGTTTGGCAAGTTCAAGTTTCTTATTTCTTATTCCACAGATGTTCAGCTGCAGAATATTGAGCATCTGTGTATTTTTTGCTGTGCTGTCTGAGTTCTTTTTGCTCTCCCTCCCACTCTTCCTCCTCCTGGGGTGTCTGTTTTCCCTATTTATTTCAAATTTTCCAGTAGCCAATTTTTCGCACATGACAGCCTGGTTTCCCACTGTCTGGCGCGGGCCTTGATAGACGAGGCGACGATCGATCTCGTATGTATTCTTAAATTTTGACATATTCATGGCATTGTGGTGCTGGGGTGTCTGTGGATTACCTACCTCCCCGGGCAGCAGCTAGAAATGCCCTGTACCAGTTCTAAAGGAAATATGGGTTGTGTTTCTGCCTTTCCCTTTAACACGTAGCTAAGGTGGGGCTCACAGTGTGCTCATTCCCCGCCACCAGATTGCCTGCAGGTTTCGCTGAGCTCTTCATGTCTCTAAGCATGGCCTAAGCATGAGTAGTTGGGGCAACTGGATCGTCACGTCCTGAGTCCCTGTGCCTTCACGATAGTTTCCGGTATTCAGGGGGGGTTAGCATACTTGTTTCCATTCCTAAGACTGTTCAGCACCCCTCTGGCTCCTTCCCTCCCACAGGGGGCAGTACGGTGTGGTGCACCGGGTTTATTATCGAGGTTTGCTCCTCTAGATCCATTGTGTTTTGCCTGGGGATTCGCACCCCCAGTTACCGGGACTACCTCGGGGAGGCTGTGACTCTTCGCCACGCACAATGGTCTTGAGGTAAGAGAGGTTTTGCTAGGTCAAGAGGCTGACACCACAATGGACGCTCCTTTCGTGAACAGATATTCACTAGACCTAGGGTGAAGTAAGGGGGGAAACCCACTACCCACAACACCAACACTTCTTACCCCCTTCCTCTCGAGGCTCAGTCCCATTATTATAATGAAGAGTCATACATTATGTTACTGTTATTATATAATAGTTATTACAAAGAGCCATACCTTATCTGTGATTGCTGTTTTGTATCATTATTATGAAGTGCAGTTGAGAAGCAGTTGGCCTAGGGGTTACAACGTCGGGCTGCCATGCAGGAGACCAGGGTTCAACCCTCGATAAGCTGATGGCATTTTTCTGTCTTGAGCAAAATTAAACATCCTAACCTGCACAGTCCATGGTGACAGCAGCAGCCATGCAGCCCTAAATCCTCAGACTCAAGACCCCTCTGTCTACACCACCCTAAAAAGTGGTAAAACAGATAGTAATGACAGTTTAGTTTATTATGAAGTGTCAAACCTTATCTGTTATTCTTATACCTTATCTGTTATTGTTAAACCTTATCTGTTATTTTTATACCTTAGCTGTTATTGTTATATCTTGTCTGTTATTGTTATACCTTATCTGTTATTTTTATACCTTATCTGTTATTGTTATACCTTATCTGTTATTGTTATATCTTATCTGTTATTGTTATACCTTGTCTGTTATTGTTAAACCTTATCTGTTATTGTTATACCTTATCCTTTATTGTTATACCTTATCTGTTATTGTTATACCTTATCTGTTATTGTTAAACCTTATCTGTTATTGTTATACCTTATCTGTTATTGTTACACATTATCTGTTATTGTTATACCTTATCTGTTATTGTTATACATTATCTGTTATTGTTATACCTTATCTGTTATTGTTATACCTTATCCGTTATTGTTATTCCAGTATCGAGGATGCCAAGCAGAAAACAGAGCATGACAGACGAATGAAAGAAGCCGAGCGTAAGAAAGCTGAAGTGAAGAAGAAAATAAATGCACTGAGAAGGCAGTTTCGGACTATCATTGAACGGAATGAAAACTTACCCAAGCATTTGCAGCTGAGCAGAAAGGTTGGTGCCAAACAATGTGTATCTTTATTTTCACCATCATCGAAAATCAGGTAAGCACACACACACACACACAAAGAAAAGGTCCCCTTTCCACGCCTTTAGGTGTATAGGGCATATAGGGCTAGACCTATATTTTTAGAGACCAATTGACACAAAATGGGTGATGGGGTCAGCATCATGCCGGCCGCCTTTACTTCCCACTACTGCATCAGGTACCCACTCAAGGCTGAGTCGATCTAGGAGTCAAGTTAATTTTTTAAAAATAGTCTGGCTCTGCCAGGCAGCAAAGCCACCACCTTCTGATCCACACCAGAGCGTCTAGCCACTACACCATGGTGACTCCCCGAACATCAGGTCCTTTATGAAATTATAATCTACTGCAAAAAGCCTATGACAGTATAAAACAGGCTAGGAGTAGAAGGCTCTAAAGAACTACAGGGAAAGATTAAACAGTACATAACAAGATCAGGGATCTGCATAAGACAGAATAATGGTGTCCCAGATTACTTTAAATATCTACAAAGATGGATTACACAATAAAATTACTATAATTGTTTGGAAGTACACATTAAAAAAATATTGAATTTGGCAGTATGTACTTCTGCAGTCTTATATAATTGATACATAAACTATGTAATATTGAATAACCAAACATAACTTGTAGGGATAAATATTCATTATTGAAATAGAAAAAAAAACTCTGTGTATCCCAGTTATAATCTGGATAGATTGAACAGGATATTGTTGTTTATTTGACTACTTTTACTATGTTGCTTCCATCACAGCCTATCTGAAAAAACTCGGCCCCTGACTAGCACTCCAGACTCATGAATTTTCCTGCTTAAGGATTAGCTTTTGTCTTGTGCCCATCTTCACACTGGTCTACCCCTACCCCTTCCTGTACAGTACCATGCCCTCCCTTACTGTTCTTTCCAAACCATTGTAGCGCTTGATGTGGCCAAAGTGTTTCATTTTCCAAGACAACAGTCTGCTTACAAATAAGCCAAATATGAAAAACAAATGTGCACCGGTTCTAGAACAAAAACCAAAGTCCAGAAGTCAAGGATGAAGCAGAACTTTCCACCAGAGATTAAATCTGGTGAACGCAAAGAAGAAGAAGAGGACCAGTAGTAGTGATGTATACAGTGAATATTATGATAGAATCAATAATGGGGAGCTTTGGGAGAGAACTAAACAAAATCTAGTAAATTAAGATGTGAAGATGCACTGTGTTATATAACCAACATTTTGAGAAAACCTAAGAACAATATAACTGGAATTTCTTTACATTGGAACCCACAAGGTGAAAGAAATAAAAGCACCCCCCCCCCCCCCCCCACCCCCCATGGAGAAGGGAACTGAAAATGGAGGTTAAAAAGATGGGAAGGACATGGATTTAGGGTCTAAACTCCACTGGGGTATAAGGAGCAGGAGAAGATATTGTGTTCTCCTAAAATGTGAAACATTTATTTGTTCCTAATATAAATATGACTAAAAGTATGAAATGTGATGAAGAATACATTATTATTTGTTAATTTCTAAGGAGTTTGAAATAGACAAGGAGATCAAGCAGGAACTACAGCAGCAGAATGAACAGAAGAAGGAATTAGTTAGGAAACAACTGGCATGGGAATCTGAGAAACTGCAGATTGCTTTAGATAAAATCAAGAAAAGGTGAGTTACATACTGCTTTATTTGTGGGAAATACTACAAACATTGTTTACAGAATGTGTGACAGTACTTTGTTGAAGCCACTTCTTTAAAAGACAATAAATACTACAAACATAGTGTGCAGAATGCGTGACAGTTCTTTGTTTGAAGCTACTTCTATTTTTAAATAAATACTACAGATGCAGTGGGCAGAATGCATGATAGTACATCTTTGAAGACATTTCTTCAAAAGATACAATTACTACAAACATAGTGTGTAGATTGCATGAAAGTACATTGTTTGAAGACGTTTCTTCAAAAGACAAAAGTACAAATGTAGTGTGCAGAATGCATGACAGTATATTGTTTGAAATATTTTGCAATCTTCTGCGGATAAACAAGAAAAGAAAAAGCATCTTCGTAATATATGCTCTGGGATCTGTGTTCAGTATGGTGGACACAAATATACCCACAGTGGGTATAGACTCCCCCTCCCCCAGATTTGGGCACCTTTAACAAGTATTTTGTAAGAGACATTTGTTTGCTAAAATTGGATGTGTTGGACCAAAAACCCCCAGATATAATAGCCTAATTGTGAACCACAACACAACGTCTCCACCACCCTTTTGAGGAAGAAGAAGAATTAGGAAGAAGAAGAAGAAAAGGAAGAAGAAGAATTAGTAAGAAGAAGAAAAGGAAGAAGAAGGAGAATAATAAGAGTCTGTATGCGATTTGGGCAACTGTACTGTTAATTTTAGGGAGCATTCATTCTGTAGAGCGAAGTTTGAAGTATACAGTTTCTGTGCTGAGTCTAACAAGAGCAGTTTGCTGACTATGTTTTGTATTATGATGAGATTGTAGCTGCTTTTTGTTCTATGGCTCAGTATGTTTTCGTACTTTCTCTTTTCTCAGATTCAAGGATGATGTAGAATGTGAGAGGATTGTGGTCAAAGCCTTCTTGACGCCACATGAAGTCTCCAGCTTCCGCTCATCAAAGCTGTCAGAGGAGTTTCATCAGCTGAAGGCAGAGCTCGATATCAAGAAAACCCAGCAGCAGATGGTAGATGATTCTGGCAGAGATCCTACACAAGATTTACTGTCTGGTTAGTAGATGGACTTTGAAGAAAACAAAAATAGCAGTGGTCTCCCCCTGTATACCAGGATCCCATTTCTGGGGTAAAAAGAATAGACCCACTCGCCCCTACCCCCCGCCCCAACCTTTCGGACTCATTTGCAAGCATGTAGTAAAATGCAACTAATTAGGGGTGTTTCCTTCAAAGTTGACAAGGCAGATGTGGTCAAGACTCTTTGGGAACAAACAACGTAACTAGTAGAGAAACAAGATTATTATGGCCTGGCAAGAATGAGGCACCCGGGTGTAACCAGAGCGTCTGGCCGGCTCACTACACTCAGAGAAAAGGCAAGGAGGACATATAACCAGATTGTGACCGGTACCATCAGTATTGGAACTCTGGGCTGGCTGCTGAAGATGAGGACGGATAATGCATGAGAATGCCCCGAGTGCTGTGATGTCAATTCTTGACTCAACTCAACTTCAAAGTTAGTGTGCATCTGCCTGAGAGGTGAGGAACCAACAGTCTGCAAACAAATTAGCCAGATCTGTTAAATGGATGTGCATGCAAAACTCAGGTTCTGGAACGAGACTAAAATCCAAAAGTGGATGAACAACCAGAATTTTCTGTTGGAATTTACAGCTAGTCAGCACTAAGAAGAAGTGAGGAAAAAGTACATAACATGAAGGTTAAAGTAATACTATGGCAAATATTACTGTAAGGATGTAAATGTTAGAACTTCATGTTAACAAATATTAGATTGTCATCTGAAAAGATGGTTTAATAAGAACCTGCTCTTGTCATTTCTTCTTTCCAAAATAGTTAGCAGTTTTTATTAGGCTTAGTTTATCATAGACTGTGTTTTGCTGGGACCTTGAAGGAAGCAAAGGGTAATGACACTGTAAGTTACCATGAATGTCACTGACAGTTACTAAGGGAATTTACATGAGACTGGTTAATGCATCGTGCAGAAAACTTTAGCTGTAGAGGCTTTAGCATGAGTCACTTGATTGAGAGCTTATGCTCTCCTGGCAGTTAGAAGGAGAAGAAGAATACAGAGAAGTTGATCATAGAGTCGTAAACCATATTGGATTATGCAGTCCAAATACTTGCATGACATTTGTTAAATTTTATTTAATGTGCTATTTTATCATAAGAATAGCTCTATGATGACCTCTTCTTGAGGAATCAATTTTTTAATTTTTTATTGATTTGACAGTTTTACTTTGACTTTATTTACCAACTATGCTGGTTTTTAATTTTCTGAAAAGTTAAAAATTTTTTAAGCTTAATACATCTAGTTGGAGAACATTCCTGTCTAGACTGAGAATTTAAGCCTAGCCTTTTGTGTTTGTTAAATAGTGTACGTTAGTGCATGTTAAGTTAGGTGCGTATCCTTTACAGGACATTGCAGAACCAACCCTAGCATGTTTTTTGTTGTTGTGGTTTCTGTTGGCAGATTTTACATTCAGTATTTTGCCATTGCTCACTGAAGGGTCAGCTCTGGGTACCACTATTGAAAGTAACGCAAGACAAATCGTCCGCAGCTGGGGTCGAACCTGGCACCCTGCATTATGAAGCCAGTTTGCAACGCCTAAGCCACAGAGGCTGACTTATGCATTTATGTGTGGCATTAAACAGCAAGCAAAGATTATGTTATTAAAAAAATACTAGTTACTGATTCACATACTTGCTACCTGCCTGAAACCATTTATATAGGTAGTTTTCTTTATCATGTGTTGGGTTTGCGTGAACCAACTGAGAACTGTGAATCTGCAACCATGGTCAGATTGCAAGAACAACATGTTAAACGGGGTGTCACCAAACAAGAACGCTACATGAGTAGCCAAAGAATAATAATAAATCAACACAGAGCTGGTGTCGCTAGCCACTACACGCTGCGGGATTGACTGAGGAGGGGATCCGAGCACTTATAGACTGAGAATTCGACCTGCAATGAGGATAATCTGTTGACTAATTAACTAACTAGGTTTAAATTTATTTTCTTCTTTGTAGAGCAGAGCAAAACTTCAGAAAAATCTGGCCCAGTTGAGGATGGTACAGATGGCGAGGCTGGATCCAAAATCTTGACCACACTGAAAGGCAGTATGGGAGAAAGAATTAAAAATGCTCTTCAGAAACTAGAAGACAAGGAAAAGAAAAGGGCTGCTCGTAAAGTTCAGGTAGTTTCTTTAAAAACACATTAATTTAAATGTTGAATGTTGTTGAATGCTGAATTAAGAATCTGGACACCCCCTGGACACGTCCCCGTCTTCAGCAGCAAGCCAAGAGTTGAAAGTCCGATATCACCAGTCCCTGTCTGATTGCACAACTGTCTCACATTTCCCCTGCGTGTTGAGCGATGGCCAGATACCCCTTGTAACTCCTCACAGTGCCATTCTCCTCAGACCATAATGATCTATCTGTACCTCAGTTTTAAAAAACACTGAAACTTAAAAAAAAAACAATAATTACAGTATTTCAATAAATTTATTTTGTAATAATTTGAGTTTGTAAACAGTAGTGTAGCTCACAAGAATGTCTGAACCATTGTTTTTGCTGCATTCTCTCTACAAGAGGAGCAGCTGGCTGAGTAGTCAGAGTGCTGGATTCTCATGCTGGAGACCTGGGTTCAATATTCAGAAAGGGATACAGATTTTTTTCTGTCAAGGATACCATACTATACAAGGCATATACTAAAAGAGGAGAAGGACTTAGAGCACAAGGTAGACCAAGAACAAGATGGAAAGATAACATCAGAGAAACTCAATAACAGCACAATATGTCTATGGTTGAGTGAAGAGATAAAAGCTTAATCTGATATCTCCCTTGACACTCAAAGTAGTAAAAGATAAAGTGAAGAAGAACAGAAGAAGAAAGACCCCCCCCCCCTTTTCCAACCACCACCCCCCCCCCCACCAGTATTGCAGGATTTGTGAAAAACCAGCTCATCTTTTTTTTTTCAGATGAAGTGTCACACACTGAAATACTATTGGGAATTTTTTTTAGAATATCATGAACTAAGAAAGATAAAAATGCTGACATCCAACATCAAGGAGAATTTGCTCATAAACAGCATCTTGTTCTGAAAGTTTGATGACAGTAAAACTTATTCTTTTTGTTTGCTTGAAGTAGATCATTTATATCTGCAGTGTTGTCTCTAGTATGAACTTCTATGTCTTTTATAATTCTCTCAACGATTTATAAAGTGTGGCTAGCACCGGTTTTTCTCTTGGCTAAAAGTTTTGCTTTGATGTGTTGTATTTGGGACAGTCTTGGAGGACCTGATCTGTCTCAGGTGCCAATCCACATGTGTATATGTCTGGTTAACTGATTTAAAATGTTGTGTACATGTGGCTGCCAAGTCGACTGTGTCCTGTTCTAAGACGTAGAATAACTTGCTCTGGTCTGTCCATAAAATGCTAATCATCTTGTGCCAGTTTTGGTGGCTTTCTGATTATTTTGACTATTTTCTTCTTCTGTTACATCAGATTGTCCTTCATTTGCACCCTCTTTAGCTAGTTTATGAATGAAACATTTTCTGTAACCATTTCTCATCATTTTAAGACAATCAAACATTTTCTATAGCCATTTCTCATCATTATAATAATAATCAGACATTTTCCATAGGCATTTCTCATCATAATAATAATAATCAAACATTTTCTATAGCCATTTCTCATCATTATAATAATAATCAGACATTTTCCATAGGCATTTCTCATCATAATAATAATAATCAAACATTTTCTATAGCCATTTCTCATCATAATAATAATAATCAAACATTTTCTATAGCCATTTCTCATCACAATAATAATAATCAAACATTTTCTATAGCCATTTCTCATAATAATAATAATAATAATCAAACATTTTCTATAGCCATTTCTCATAATAATAATAATAATAATCAAACATTTTCTATAGCCATTTCTCATAATAATAATAATAATAATCAAACATTTTCTATAGCCATTTCTCATAATAATAATAATAATAATCAAACATTTTCTATAGCCATTTCTCATAATAATAATAATAATAATCAAACATTTTCTATAGCCATTTCTCATAATAATAATAATAATAATCAAACATTTTCTATAGCCATTTCTCATCACAATAATAATAATCAAACATTTTCTATAGCCATTTCTCATAATAATAATAATAATAATCAAACATTTTCTAAAGCCATTTCTCATAATAATAATAATAATAATCAAACATTTTCTATAGCCATTTCTAATAATAATAATAATAATAATCAAACATTTTCTATAGCCATTTCTCATAATAATAATAATAATAATCAAACATTTTCTAAAGCCATTTCTCATAATAATAATAATAATAATCAAACATTTTCTGTAGCCATTTCTCATCATAATAATAATAATCAAACATTTTCTATGGGCATTTTTTCATAATTCTAATAATATTGAAATGCAATAGCCATTTCTCATTGTTCTAAAGACAGTCAATCATTGTGGTCATTTCTCATCATTTTAATGACAGTCAAACATTGTAGCCAAATCTCATCATTCTGATAACAATCAAATATTTGATGTAGCCGTTCCTGATAACAATCAAATATTTGATGTAGCTATTCCTTATGCTTCTAATAACAATCAAACAATGACTTTTCCAGTGGGACGAATTGTATGCTAGCAAACCACATGATGATTACGAAGACCCAGAAGATACTGCTGCTATCAAAGAGGCTCAAGAAAACATGGGAGATTATAAGCTGAAAACGGCAGCTGACTACGTTGTTCCTGATCATCTGAGAATGAATGTGGACAAGGCACGAGGGAGACTACTCATCCTCCAGGAAATGGTGTGTTTGTGATTTTGAAGATCATCTTATTGTCGTCATCATATTTGTCATTGAAATAATCATCATCACTGTCGTCATCATATTTGTCATTGAAATAATCATCATCATTGTCGTCATCATATTTGTCATTGAAATAATCATCATCATTGTCATCATCATATTTGTCATTGAAATAATCATCATCATATTTGTCATTGAAATAATCATCATCATTGTCGTCATCATATTTGTCATTGAAATAATCATCATCATTGTTGTCTTGATGACCACTATCAAAAAGAAGTAAAAAGAGACAAATATTGCCCACACCACCTTCTGATTGCCAGCTTATCTATAAATATATAGGTGAATATGGGGCATTAAGTCTTCATACTCAAAGAAAAGAATCTGCCTGTTTCCTAAATATGGTATTATTTGTCTATTGGGTATTCTCTCTCTCTCTCTTCTAAAGGTCTTAATGTCAAACATAGTTTTACTTTAAAAAAAAATTCAGAGTTACATCCCTTGCAGTAATCTTTCACCTGTCTTACCATCCCACCTCTCTGGGTCATTTCCTGTCTAGTATCTATATTCTGCAAAGACATACACACCCAAGAGCTTATACTGTTCAAGCATGTTATGGAGATTTGATGACAGAACTCACCATAAAGATAAATGGTGTTAGATATTCTTGCTTGTAATTTGTATCATTGTCCATTGATATCATATTATTATGAGGGCTTCCTAGCTGCAACATAAACTTTTTGTGGTATTGCAAAGCTTTCTAGTTCTTTTAATAAATATATGAAGTTAGCTCAACATACTCATAATGCCAAAGGAATGGACATGGGATCTTTAATTGTTTGCTCTTACATATCATATGTACACTTTGTAATAATATTAATTATTTGAACAAAGAAAACACAAACAATAGAGAGCACAGAAGAACAAGAAACAGAACCGTATATCTTTCTCAACCCAGAAGCTGTAGAAGGAGAAGTGTACTAGGGAGATCTTAAGTCAGAGGAATTGAGGCTGCATGGCTTGTGGTGTCACCATAATCATTGCAGGTTAGGATGTTTATTGCTGCTGAGGATTCAAACCTGGGTCTCCCAAATGAGAATATAATATTCTAACCATTAAACTAACTACTCCTTCTGTGTACAATACATTGTTCTTTTTTTTTAATCGTTTATTGTTCATCTAAAGATCACCTTCAATGCACATTGGACATGGCTGTAAGTGTTCCGATCTTCTCCTGGGCATGTCTCCAAGTGTTTCATGTGCTAATAACTCATTAAAGAGCTTCTACACTGAAACGGCATGACAATAGCCATTGTTGCCCATCAAGCAATGGATCGCAAACTGTTCCTCCCCACAATGCTTAACAGCAGAAGTGGAAATTGATGATGATGAACTCCCATTCTGTTCTGGCTGATGTAATGACGAGTGGCTCCCATTCAGATGATATGTGGTTATAAACCAACTCATCTGATTTTCAGATCCACAAATATAAGCAGGACTTCAATAAGAGGTTGCTTGCACTAAGAGACAAGAAAGTCAGACTGATTGCTGAGATCCGAGATATCATGAACCAGCTGCATGACATTCAGACGAAACTTGACCCAGAGCATCATTTACCGATTCCTGTTATTCCTGACATGCAGCCAGATGAGATGCCTGAAAAGTAAGAATACACAAAAAGGAAGTAGTAAACGTGCCCGCATGATAGACGTAATGTTTTAATAAATGTACTGTCTTATGTGATGTGTCAAATATTGTACTGTCTCATATGATATTACTAATAACGTACTGTATTATGTGATGTGTCAGAGAAGGTACTGTCACATGATAATACTAATGTTGTACTGTCTTACATGATATTACTAATTATGTACTATCATAAATATTACTTATAATGTACTGTCTTTTTTTGATATTCTAATAATGTTCTATCTTTTCTATTGCGTCAAAAAATGTACTGTCACATATGATACTACTAATAATGTATCACATATGATACTACTAATAATGTACTGTTTTATATATGGACAGTATTGCTATCCACATCACAGACTGGTATAGAAAACCTAATAACCTCAACCCAAAGAAATAGTGAAAATTCCATCTTTCCCATTGTAACATATGCCTGTAAGACCTGGACACTTACTAAAATATAGGAACAGCGTATAAATCCCTTTGAATAGAAATGTTATAGATGAATTCTAAGAATATCATGGGTGTTAAAAAAAAAAATGCATCCATATTTCAAGAACTGATTACTGGAGAAAGTTGGCTTTTAAAGACAATTAAACACAGACAACTGAATTATTTTTGTCACTTTAAACATCACGAAAGTTTGGACAGAACAATAATGGAGGGATATATGCCTGGGAAGAGACGAAGAGGAAAGCCAAAGAGAAGATAGGTGCGAGATGTGGCATATGATCTCTAGATGGGTTTATCAGACGCAGGATATCTTGCTTGTGATCGAGAAGTTTTCTGGAGGGTTGTTATGGGAGCAAGGTTCTGCAAAGGACGTGCTACTTACTGACTGACTTATATACGGAAACATGGAAAACTAACATGGGTTACTAATAAACTATAAACATTCATTAACTTGTGTCTGCACAGAATAGAGGAAATTTAAAAATATGATAAAATCACTAACGTAGTCCTGTGGACCAAAAGCTGAAGAAAAGATGCTAGCATTGGATAGGACACAAGTTGCAAAAAATGAGAACTGTATAACTAGAATGTCTTTGAACTGAAACCCACTGAGGCAAGAAATAAATGAAGACTTAAAAAACACAAAGAAGGTAGCTTGAGAGTGAAGTTTAAAATATGGGAAGAGCTGCATGCCATGAGCTGAATTCAATAACGAAAAATAGAATGACTCAGTCGAGGGCCTATGCTCCATTGGGAGCTAGAAGACAAAAGAAGACTGGTTTTTTTAAAATACTATTAATAATGTATGGCCTGATATACTGATTTTAACAATGTGCTGTCTCGCATAATATCACAAATAATGTACTGTCTTATATGCTAGGTCAGATAATGTACTGTCTTATATGCTAGGTCAGATAACGTACTGTCTTATATGCTAGGTCAGATAATGTACTGTTTTATATGCTAGGTCAGATAATGTAATGTCTTATATGCTAGGTCAGATAACGTACTGTCTTATATGCTAGGTCAGGTAATGTACTGTCTTATAGTAATATTATTAATGTTGTACTTCTCTATGGTATTTTCTTAGAATGCTGGAATTCACCAGAGACAGCCTCAAGAAATTTAAAGCTGAATATGAGCAGAAAAAGAAACAAGCACACTTGCTCGATGCCGATGGTATGACAGGAAGCAATGGTAACAACAGTGGGTTTGGGTTCGGATTTGGTGGAGGCAGTTCTAGCAATGGGACATCTTCATTGGCTGCTCCGTCAGAGAAACAGGCAAGAAATAATTTGTTACTATTTTTGAGGAGCAAATTTGCTTAAGACACAAGTAACGGATGAAGCAGACGTAACAGTGGAGACAAAAATTAATAAAAGTAACAGACCAGTTTAACTACTAAGGTAGAAAAGATTTGATTGAACAAGAAAATACCATCCCCGCTCTGCCCATCAGAGTAAAATTAAAATAAAAATAAAATTATGATGCACACTGGCAAGGCAACATCAGCTTTTAAAAGCCTCAACTGCATATGGAACAACAGCTGGCATCAAAAGTTATAAGAGAAAAAAGGTGATGGTTTATCGGTCACACTGAGATTAAGAAGAAATGGGAGAAATAGTGTTGAGAAGGAAGGACAAGAGAAAGAAAGTAAGGACAAGGGAAAATACTCTTAACCTCTTTCTCTTGTTACAAACCATTATGTCCTCCTTGTTCAGAAAACTGGTAACCAGTACTCAGTACAATGTCATTGATGTCAGTCTCTCTGTCTGGTCTGTCTGTCTGTCTGTCTGTCTGGTCTGTCTGTCTCTCTGTCTGCCTGCCTGCCAGCTTGTCTGTCTGTCTGTCTGTCTGCCTGCCTGCCTGCCTGTCTGGAAAAAAAAACAATAACAAACTATTTCATTTTCTATAATCTGTTGCCACACAATAAAATTTAGCGCATAAATTTAAACTAGTCGTTATTCTCCTGTATGACTCTAGTTGTCCACATTGTCAACTGCCGCAGTAAAGAAATCCAGCAGCGTGAGTACCGCAGTGGACAGTGAAGATATTGTTGACTACGTTGATGAAGAAAAGAAAATTGATGAAGAAGAAGCAATGTCACCAATAGAAAAAGATATCTATCATCGTGAACAAATCAAGTAAGAAATTTGAGAGTATTTTTTCCGCGTTCGGTTTTAATTAGAACAAGAAACACATTTCTTTGAATATGTAATAGCAGATAATGTTAGTTAGTTATTTAGTTAGTTAGTTGGGTTATCATCATTGCACTCCGGACATGTCCATAGGTGCTCAGATCCTCCCCTCAGTATGAACCCCAGCGAAGCAGATATTGGCTGAGGCGAAGTAGAAGACAAAGTATAGAAGTAGTTAAACATTTTCAATAAGAGGAGAAGTACTGACATCTAGAGATAAATGACACATTAGTAAAGTAAAGGACCTTTTTCTATGCTCCCAGACCTAATGGGCATATAGGGCTAAACCTATATTTTTTAGACCGATCGGCACTCTGTGGATGATGTGGTCAGCATCGTGCCAGCCACCTTTACTTCCCAGGGTTTTACTTGGTACCAATTTAATGCTGGGTCAACCTGGGAGATAAGGTCATTTTAAAAATAAAAAACTGGTTTCATCAGGATGTGAACTCATAACCTTGAGATCAAAAGGGAAGCATCTAGCCTTTATACAAAGGTGGTGTCCAGGGAACACATTAAAAGTGAAAATTGTCAAATATTGCTGAACCCTGCTATATGATGCCGGAACCTGGACAATGATTACCAAGCAATTAGAAAGGTGAAATAAGTCTCTAAAGATATGGATATGCGGAACAATATGTCATATTATATGGAGTGTCTTCATATGTTGAGTTACCACTTTTAAGATGTGCACTTATCAACCTTTTCAAATGTTCACTTATCAGTATTTTTAGATGTTTATTTATCAATATTTACCATTCTTTTAAAATGTGCACTTATGAATCTTTTCAATTATATGACTTATCAACCTAAGCCAACATAATCAACATAAGTGCTCCTGTTTGTTTTTGTTTTGTTCAAATTTTCACTTGTCAGGCTTTTCAAATGTTTATCAGTATTTCTTTTGAAAAATGCACTTTTCTGTCTTTTGAAATATACACTTATCAAACTTTTCTAATACTTATCAATTTTTTCAAATGTCAATTTATCAGTCTTGTCAATTATTTATTTTACCAGTGTTTCAAAATGTGAAATTTTCTGTCTGCAAAAATTGTCATATACAATTCTTTTTAAAATGTGCATTCAAACATTTATTATTGCAGACATGCTTTTAACCAGCAACAGTTGATACATGACATCCACCAACTGGTGACCAGATTTGATGCGGAACTAAAACTGTTGAGACATGACAAGTTCACAATGGATGTTGTGATGAAAGATGGAGACCTGAGGTAGTTAGCTATACAATCTAAGCAATCATTAATGAGTGAATGAATCAAGAATTGACATCACTGCACTAAGGTCACTCCCATACTGTGCTCTGTCTCCTTCCTCAGTGGCCAGAGAAGAGTTGACATGCTATTAGTACCAGTTTCAGCCATCTATGTTTACTTCTCAGTGTTGAGTATCTTTAGACCCTCCTGTCACCGTTGAAAAGTTTTTCAATGTACAGATTCTGTGTGTATGTTCTATTGCACTTTCAATTTGATCCCAGGTAGCCTTCACCTTGTCTGCTTTATCATAAAGTAGCTCACCGCCCAGAGAAGCCTTAACAAATGTGTGAAGCCCTAATCATGTTGGTTGAGGATATACATGCTGTTAGATTAAATTCTCGACTTCACCCGAGATAGTTATGAATATTTTATTTTTCCATCTTCTACTTCTTCTTCATCTCAAAGGCTGCCTTATGTTTTTGTGCCTAACTGCACCTGAAGCTAACCTGCATCTCCCCCTCTTTTGGGTCATTCAAGTACCCCCTTCAAATTTTACCAAAAAATGCTAAAGCACCCATCCCCTCTCCCTGGGGGAAAAGGGGTGGAGGGGAGGGGGGTATACACACATGAGAAACACCAGTCTAACTATTCTGCTACTGCAGCTGTCACTGTTAAAAGAAAATGACAGTTGCAGCCTATACTTCAGGTATGAATGGAGATAACAGTGAAATGTGGTATTTTTTCTCTCTTTCAAACTCATTCTTCAAAGAGCATAAAAATATTTCGGCATGAAAAGAGAAGAAGGGGACATTAATATTCCATTTTATTTAGACACATACCCACTTAGTGTGGGTAAGTAACTCAGACATTAAGGAGCTGTCAGTAAAATGGCTACAATTTACTACGACAGTACACCAAGTTTTTAGGAACAGAATGCTTATGTTGTTATCTGACAATGCTGTGCAACAGGCAAATGAAAGATTGCAAACAAGGAAACAGTCATTGAACAAATAGAGTAAAAAAATAGAGTTTATTTATTTATTCACAAACAGAGCCAGTACCCAGTGTTTTGTATTGGATATAGTATTTTGGCCAGGTTTTTCTGTATCTTTGAAATAAATTTAATTTATTTTGTAGACTTGTAACTCTGTTTGAAGAGTTGATTTTGCTGAAGGAATATGGAAAGACTGAAGATATACTAGCAGAAAAACTGGTCAGTAAGCAACAAGAGAAGATGGACATGCAAGCGAAGGTAACTTTCATAAATAGGATTTTAATTACTGTCAATAGAGTTGTCAGCTGGTACTAGGGAATCGTTTCTTCATGTCTTGCAGTCTCTAATAGCATTAATTTTTTACATTGCTGACACCCTTCCAAGCTATAATGTGCTTCCTTTGGTTGAGATAGTCACACTGCAACTCACTGGGATCTCTGATATCCCATTAGATGACAGCCATTTGGAATTTAGCACAACTGATTTATACAAAGATTATTTACAAATTACTTTGCCTGAATGCTTTTTAATAAACAAAGGTGAAGTCGGGAGATGTGAATGAGCATCAGTGCACACAGTTATAAACCATAAGTGCTCTGCCACCAGTACGGACAGCTGATAAGAAACTGCCTGTGTCGTGGATATTCCTTCATTTACCCCAGAGTATTAACTCTGGTACCCATTACCTAGAGGCTGAGTGAACCCAGGAAACTGCCTGGTTTTGAACACCGGCTGTGGGCAGCAGCGAGTTGCAGCTGGATTTGAAAGTGAGTTTCCTATCAACTGCGCTAACGCAGTCCCTTTGTTAAATATACAAGTATAATTAATATTATAATTTAATTATATTTGGAGAAAAAAAAAACCACATGTTAAAGTGGATAATTAAACAAATCTAGTGTTTGCACATACAAGAAATAATTAAATGGTATGAAGAATCACTCATGTGGAGTTTATGGAGAGAACAACAAAAATTCAAGTATTTAAGAGCTGAGAAAAAGATGCTGATGAATCAGATAAATATTGATAAAAACTAAATAACACAACTCCGGATTCTACAGAGTACCAGAAATAGCGGAAGACCTTAAACAGACTTTTAAGAGGCTGATATGTGTAAAATATGGTAATGCATTGAGGGAGCTGTAGAATGATTTCGCTTAAATTAGTAGATGGTGGTCTTTGCTCAGTTAAGAGGAAAAAAGGCAAAAGAAGAAGAAAATCAAATAAATCTGATGGAAAGGTGGGCTCTGATCTAGTAGCAATGCCATCAAACCCATCAGCTCTTTCATTGCCCATGTCTTCCTCTTCTTCTTTTACCACTTTGGGTGTCGAGGGAGATATAGGGGTACAGTGTGGTGGAGCTGTCAAAATACTTGGTTTATTTTGCCCTATCTTTATACAATTTGCCCTTTTTGATGAATATTGTTACTGGATATTGAAATTCAGATGCCTGTTTCTTCTTCTTCTTCTTCTTCTTCGCGTTCACCAGCTGTAAACTCTGGCGGAAGGTTCTGGTTGCTCGTCCGCTATCGAACTGCAGTCCTGCTCCAGAACCTGAGTGTTGCGTGTGCATCAGTTTTACAGATCTCATTCTCTTGAATACAGACTGTTGGTTGTTTGCCTCTCCGGCACATGCACTCCGACTTCAAAGGAAGCTCCCCAATTAGTCGACTCTTACGACATGCTTTTGGGGATGCAGTGGTTTTTTTCTTGTTTTCCCCACAATGGAGCCCCGGAACCCACACGGGGGAGATGCCTGTTTAATATCTTTGTACTCGACTTATATAATTATGTTGTGTTTCTTCCATTATTTTGAAACTGGTTCATCTTTAGTGTTGATTCTTGTCATAATGTGCCCTTTATTTTATTTATTTCTACCATCACTTTATCACACATACTTTCCTGCTGTCTTTGTTGATTCTCTGCTACCCTACAGTGTAGCACATCTGAATTAGGAAACGTTTGCTTGAATTTTTTTTTTTTAAATCACAACAGATCATGGAAGTTCAGAGAAAGATTGATCTGAAAAAGAAGGATATTGAAAAACTTCAGGAGAAAGAGAAAACTTTGATGGCAACATTTACCCAGTCCCTGGGAGAAAACAAGTTCAGTGACTATCTCATGAAAGTCTTCAAACACAAGATCAAGAGAACCAAGAAAAAGATGGCTGATGGACAAGGTTCGTGTGACTAGTGATTTGTTGTTATAGCTGTCAAGATAAATCCATGGTGGATGCTGACATATGGCAGGGTTATGTTATCTCAGTTCAACAATTTATAGTTCAGATGGATGTTTTCCCATTATTAATGTCTTATTCTTTTGCTTTCATCCTCAAAAAGGTGGATAGCATGTTATGACATGGTTTACAGCTAGGCTGCGGTATGTGCACCTTTCGGCCAATATCCATTTTCAGCAAAAAATGAAATTATTAAAATGGACAGTGTATCTGGGTTTTTCTCCCTCAAAGGGGAAAAAAAGGGGGTGGGGGGGGTGGGTCTGCTTTTTTTCTTTCACCTTGTGGGTTCCAGTGCAAAGACATTCTAGTTATATTTTTCTTAGGTTTTCTCAAAATTTGTTTTAAATAATACAGTGCATCTGCTTCTCATCTTAATTTACTGGATATTGTTTAGTTCTCTCCCAAAGCTCCCCATTAAAGATTCTCTCATAATATTCATTGTTTAAAAAACTACTACCTCAAGAAGCTACACATCGAATTATGAATTTAGATAGTGAAGACACAAACAATATTTATTACACATTTTTATGTAAACATATAACTAGAAAGTCTTTGCACTGGACCCACAGGGGTCTATAAATTAAGGCAGACTAAAAACGCATAGTGGGGGTAGTTAAAGAGTGAAGTTACAAGAATGGGGTTGGACATGGTAGGAGCTGTGTGCAATAGCAAAGGATAGGATCACCTGGTGTGAGTTGGTTCAGGGCTTACTCTCCGTTATAGATTAAATGCAAATTATTCTAGATATAGTATCTGTGTTGGTAGTTGTTGTGGCTACATTCTAACCAGATGATCTTCTGCTTCTCTGTGAATTTGGTGCAAGATGTTGCTTCCACAGTATGTCTTATAGTATCAGTTCTTCCCTGTGTGGGTACCTAGGAGAACAGAATGGACCCATTGCCTCTAAACAGTCAATTTGTAAGATGTGACTACTTAAAGATTTGTTGAAATTGGATGTTTTGGGACCAAAGGGTGCAGATATTACAGCCTAGCTGTAAAACGTATCACACCATGCCAACCTCCCTTTTAAGGGTGAATGAAAAAGAAGAAGAAAAAGAAGAGGAAGAAGTATCATTCCTTGCTCGGTCTTGGAGGGTTAAGTTGACGGCTTTCCTCAGGCATCCCATCTCACAATTTTGAAATATTACTACAAATATTATAGTGTGGGTGCTGTGCTCTAACTGAAATCTGTCCAAAGAGGTTTATTAGGTCGTATAAACCTTTGGTGTCTATTTTTTTTCCTGCATAGACGTATGTTATTGGGGAGGGGGGGGGGGATTCCCAGTTACTTTGGGTGCTGATCTTAGACTGTTTAGATGTTAGTATAGATTACTATCCACTATGCATTTTTAACTTGGGTCGCATTAACAGTTATTAGCATCTTTCCAGATGATAGTGGTATAAAGTGCTATAAGGAGGCATAAGAATGATAGCCCGTGGTGATGGCGAGTGTGACCACCAAGATCTTCCTGTGTTAAGAAAAGTCTTCCACAATTAGAACATAACATTTCAGGACCTTTGTTGTCATCACATGTGTTTTATGAGTGCTTGTTCTCAGGTGATTCCCATCTTAACCGTTCTGCAGTCATTTCTTCCATTACCTCTATTCCCTTCCTGATTTCCTCCCCTTCCCTCAACACTGTGCATGGTATTTGAAATATTAAAAATAGGAAATACTACAATTCCTTTCAAAGCCCAGCCTTATGACCATGTACTGAGAGGTGGTAAACAGTAAAAAGTTAGGGATCTTTGGGATTAGGTAAGTATGGTGTGGCCTTGTGTCCCGGGACTGCTATGGTAGCCACAAAGGTCATCCATGGTCACCCTGAAACCTCCTGGCCAACAGGCTTCTCATAAAGTTGCGGCAGGCCTAGCAAATACATCATCAATTGATTTATTTTTGGTACAGAAAACAATGCGATACAAATGGACATCCTTAGTCTCCCTCCATACCTGAAGCAGTAAAAGAGGAAGTGAAGAAGTAAAAGAAGAATAATACTAACGTTTTGAATCAAGAATTGACATCACAGCACTCAGGACACTCCCTTAAGCGCTCCATTCCCATCTTCAGCAGCAAGTGAAGAGTTCCAATTCCGATGGTACCAATAACTATCTGATTGTACATCCATCTTGCCTTTCCCTTGAGTGTTGATAATACTACAGTAATAATATTTAATATTGTAAAACAGACTCCGATGAGGGTTCTGAAGATGAGTCCAGCGATGATTCTGACTGGGAGGAGAGTGATGAGGAGTCCGAATCTGAAGCTGGAGGTTATGATCTTGATATTTGTCCTCCTGGATGTGACCAGGTAAGTGAAAGACAAGATGTGGATAAGTTCTCAGAGCCGGAGAAAAGGCATTAGCTCATCCTAATCATTATTATTGTCATGACAGTCGGACTGATGACTGATGCTGTGGTTATCTATTGAAGTCACTTAATTGGTTCTTGCTTCCATCATCATCATCATCATCATAATCATCACCAGGTAAAGTCAGTCTCAAGACTAGAGTTAAAGTCATCAGATTATGCCTCATCAGTGTCTACTGATTTCATCATCATTATCATACTTACTTATCATCATCATAATTATAATCATTATCATCATCCTCATTATCATAATTATCATCTTATCATCTTGAGAGATAATAGCATCCTTGCCACTGCACCTGTGTATGTTCCATAACACACACTCCGTCCCCCCCCCCCCCCCCACTCAAACACAATCACAAGCATGCACGTAAACACACATATTTGCACACACACACATGCATGCACTCCATGGCTTAGACGTTGCGAGTCCAACTCGTAATCTATCGTACCGGGATCGAAACCCACTGCTGGCTGCGTGGATTTTTATCATGGTATGGGGCGTCGCAGGTCAGCCCAGACTTAAATGGGTACTAGGATGGCTGTCCTGGGGAAGATAAGATGGCTGGCGTAATGCTGACCACATTACCCATCCAGTGTCGATTGGTCTGTAAAAATATGGGACGCTCTTCCCATATACCCAATGCGCCTAAGGCATGAAAAGGGATCTTTACTTTTTACTTTTTACATCCATGCACCCAGGCACACACACATATGTGCACACATGCACCCACTCACACATACACATCCCCCTACCCCTGCCTCTGGACACACACAAGCTCTATTTACACACACACACCAACTCCCCCCCCCCCCCTTTTGCAGGAAAAAAAGAACAGACCTTTCCCCACCCCTACTTCCCCCAACAAGCATGCTGTAAACAATGACTAATTAGAGGCATTTTCTTCCAAGTCAGAGCGCATCGGCCTGAGAGGTGAGAAACCAACAGTCTACATACAAATAAACTAGATCTGTAAAACGACAATGCACACAAAACACAAATTCTAGATCAAGACTGAAGTCTAAAAGTTGATGAACAACCAGAGCTTTCCACTAGAGTTTATAGTTGGTGAATGCAGCTATGGTAGCATAGTAGTTAGATACAACCTTGCCAAACTGAAGATCTTGGGTTCACATCTGCATCAGGGGAGATTTTTGAAACTTGACCTTTGCTGCCAGGTCAACCCAGCTTAATGTCCTGAGAAGTAAAGGCAGTCAGTGTGATGTTGACCTCACTCACTGAGGGCTGATGAATCTATAAAAAGTGATTTTAGCATGATGTGCCCTGTGTGTCAGAGGTGGGAGAAAGGTTATTTACTTTACTTTTACAACTGACATCATGAGAAAACAAATCTTGGAATAGAAGACATTACTTTTATAACTGACATCTTGAGAAGACGAATCATGGAAAAGAAGTCATTACTTTTACAAGTGACAACATGAGAAGACAAATGGTGGAACAGAAAACATTACTTTTACGACACTTATAATTTATAACACTTTAAATATTTAACAGAAACTGTACGATGATACTTGCATGCTGAGGGAGAAGAGATTGGACATTGAGGAAGCCCTGGCTGATGAGAAGAAGGTTCTAGACCTGCAGAAGAAAGAACTTGACAATTTGCAAAAGAAGGCCAAGATAATTGACACACAACTGAAGACAGCCCAAGATGACCTCGAGGACTTTCAGGTTGGTAACAATTGTTAAGTAAAGAACCCTTAGTTACGCCATTGGTGCATCTAACGGATTGTGAAACTCACATCTTTATAGACCAGTTAGCAACTCGTGGGGGAGGGGGGTGTGTGGGGGGGGGGGGGGGGGGGGTTGTGGTCAATGTGACACCTGATACCTATTTAACTCTTTAAGGCTCATACATGCATGATAAGGCAGGCATGGTCAAGGGAGCATGTGTACAATTCAGAGGAGCAAATGGATCAACACAGTCTGGTGGGAGTGATGCTGTGGTGAGTGATGAGGTGTTCTGACCAATACTCGAAGCTCAGAGGAAAGGCAAGAAAGGCATATTATCAGACTGCGACTGGCACCGTTAGTATTGGAACTCAGCACTGGCTGCTGAAGATGGGGATGGAGTGCTTACGGGAATGCCCATCTTTTTTTTTTAAAGGCAATAATTGCTTTGAATAATATACATTTAGATAAATAGGGGCCCAAATAATATCACCATGGACAACAAGAGCTGAAGTACCAGTTGGGACACAATGGGTTAAAGCTACGGCTGCATGAAGCACATGGAGCTCATGAAAGCATAGCATGTCAATAGATGCATGGCCAGTTGCTTCTTTTGAAGTTGCCACAATATTTATAAAATACATTAAGTCTTTGCATTTAAGAATTATCAACATATTTTTTAGGGTTACAAAAGATTAAATGTGGTATGAGTGGATACCAGGCATTAGTACTTAAACATTACATGGAGTTACTTAAACATTACATGGAGTTACTTAAACATTATGTGGAGTTACTTAAACATTATGTGGAGTTACTTAAACATTGTGTGGAGTTACTTGAACATTATGTGGAGTTACTTAAACATTGTGTGGAGTTACTTGAACATTATGTGGAGTTACTTAAACATTATGTGGAGTTACTTAAACATTATGTGGAGTTACTTAAACATTGTGTGGAGTTACTTGAACATTATGTGGAGTTACTTAAACATTATGTGGAGTTACTTAAACATTATGTGGAGTTACTTAAATATTGTGTGGAGTTACTTAAACATTATGTGGAGTTACTTAAACATTGTGTGGAGTTACTTAAACATTGTGTGGAATTAACTTGAACATTACAAATGAGGGCACTGAAACAAATATTACATCAGAATATAATTTTGCTCTTTCTGTTCCTCCCCCTTCTTACCCATTACCCCCTCAGGTTGGGAAAATATGTTTAAACTTTAACAGTAAAAAACAAAAAAAGTAAAGATCGCTTTTTACACTTTAGGTGTATCTGACAAAAGGGAAGAGCATCCCATATTTTTACAGACCATCGGCACTAGGTGGGTAATGTGGTCAGCATTACGCCGGCCGTCTTACCTCTCCAGGACAGCCATCCTGGGTACATTTTAGGCTGTGTCGATCTGAGATGCCCCATACCATGATAAAAACACACGCAGCCCGCAGTGGGTTTCGATTGCAGCACGCTGGAATTACGAGTTGGACTTGCAACGCCTAAGCTACAAAAGCCACAACTCATACAGTGCACCCCTGATAAGGAGAACTCACAGGAGATCCAAGAAATAGTTCTTTTTATCAGAAATTCCTCTTATCAAGATAGGAAATCATGCAAGAAAAATTCCTGAGGATAAACAGAATGTTCTTTACAACAGAAATGTGCCACATCCGAGATCACCTTAAGCAGTCTTTAAGCAGCCTTAAGCAGTATCTAATTTACATGTTAGGTCCCAAGCCAGACTTTTCAATACAGTTAGTTAGTTGTGAATCCTTTACAGGACATTGCAGAACCAACCCCAGCACCTGTTTGACTGTTGTGGTTTTTCTAGGCAAATTTACATTCAGTAGTTCCCCACTGACTATCAGGAGCAACCTAAAACACGTACAATGCATTGGGAAAAGCCCACAAACGATCCATACATCCCCCTACACCCCCCCCCCCCCCCCTTTACACCTTGTTGTGATAAATGGTGGAAGAGAAGAAGAGGTTTCCTATTGCTTCTGAACAGTTGACTCTCTATACCACTGTCAGGCCAGATCACTTGCAGTTAGGATCAAATCCAGCACCCTGGCATTACAAAGCTTTCAGTATAGAGGTATGGAAAGAATTGCTGGTCTAATTGATTATCCAATTTTGTCTGACAGTTTCTTTTTTTGTCTTGTAGCTTGAGAAGCAACGGAAGCTGAACGAACTGATCATAGTGGCAACCTTAAAGTTGCACCAGATTCAGCACATAGTTAATGAGGCATTGCCGCATGATCTCAGCTCAGTTTTGGTGTTTGCCTCCAAGGAAATGGACAGGCTGCAGCTCAGAATTAAAGAATTGGAACATGAGAAGTTGTTGCAGAAGAAACAGATGAGGTCAGTGTAAACAGATAAGGTGAATAAAAACAGATACGGTGAGTATAAATTATAAGGTGATTACAAGCAAATGAGGTGGGTGGACACAGGGAGGGTAGGTATGAACAGATGTAGTCAGCGTAAGCAGACAGAGTCAGTGTAAGCAGATGGAGTCAGTGTAAGCAGCTGCAGTCATTGTAAGCAGACACAGTCAGTGTAAGCAGATGGGGGTCAGTGTAAGCAGACAGAGTCAGTGTAAGCAGATGGAGTCAGTGTAAGCAGCTGCAGTCATTGTAAGAAGACACAGTCAGTGTAAGCAGATGGAAGTGTAAGCAGACAGAGTCAGTTTAAGCAGATGGAGTCAGTGTCAGCAGATGAGGTCAGTAAAAACATGAGGTCAGTATAAACAGATGAGTTCAGTAAATACGTGAGGTCATTTTAAACACATGAGTTCACTAAATACATGAAGTCAGTATAAACAGATGAGGTCAGTAAAAACATGAGGTCAGTATAAACAGATGAGTTCAGTAAATACGTGAGGTCAGTTTAAACTGATGAGTTCACTAAATACATGAGGTCAGTATAAACAGATGAGTTCACTAAATACATGAGGCCAGTATAAACAGATGAGCTCAGTAAATACATGAGGTCAGTATGAACAGATGAGTTGAGTAAATACATGAGGTCAGTTTAAACAGATGAGTTCACTAAATACATGAGGTCAGAATAAACAGATGATTTCACTAAATAAATGAGGTCAGTATAAACAGATGAGTTCAGTAAATACATGAGGTCAGTATAAACAGATGAGTTCACTAAATACATGAGGTCAGTTTTAACAGATGAGTTCAGTAAATACATGAAGCCAGTATAAACAGATGAGTTCAGTAAATACATGAGGTCAGTATAAACAGATGAGTTCAGTAAATACATGAAGTCAGTATAAACAGATGAGTTTAGTAAATACATGAGGTCAGTATAAACAGATGAGTTCAGTAAATACATGGAGTCAGTAAACAGATGAGTTCAGTAAATACATAAAGTCGGTATAAACAGATGAGTTCAGTAAATACATGAAGTTAGTATAAACAGATGAGTTCACTAAATACATGAGGTCGGTTTAAACATATGAGTTCAGTAACTACATGAAGTTAGAATAAACAGAAGAGTTCACTAAATACACGAGGTCAGTATAAACAGATGAGTTCAGCAAACACATGAGGTCAGTATAAACAGATGAGTTCAGTAAATACATGAGGTCAGTATAAACAGATGAGTTCAGTAAATACAGGAGGTCAGTTTAAACAGATGAGTTCACTAAATACATAAGGTCAGTATAAACAGAAGAGTTCAGCAAACACATGAAGTCAGTATAAACAGATGAGTTCAGTAAATACATGAGGTCAGTATAAACAGATGAGTTCAGCAAATACATGACGTCAGTATAAACAGATGAGGTCAGTATAAACGGATTGGGGGGGGGGGCGGGAGGGGAGAGGCAGAACCACCAAATCCCTAACAAACATGTCATAAGAGTCAACTATTTAGTCGTTTCTTTAGAAGTGGGAGTGCATCTGCCTGAGAGGCAAGGAACCAACAGTCTGCATACATATAACAAATAAGCCAGATCTGTCAAATGGATATGCACAGAAGTGGACGAACAACCAGAACTTTCTGACAGAGTTTGCATCCAATGGACACAAAGAAAAAGAAGAAACTTAAAAACTTTAAATCAGATTATTATTTTACACTTTTACAGAAAAGACATATTAGGGCTAAATATAAATTCTTAAACCAAACAAGCTTGTTAGTAGGACTTGGTTGTGTTGGTTGAGAGTCTAAGCTACAACTTATAGGAGTGTCCTGAGCACTGTGATGTTGATTCTTAATTCAACATTCAACATTCTGTCTATGTTCTATTGGGGAACACAAAAAAGAAGAAGAAAAAACCTGCTGTGTTGGTTTAATTCTTCTGAAAATCACAAATTAAAACAATAAGCTCCTGTTTTCTAGAACCCATATTTGTTTTAAATAATGGGCATACAGTTTATTTATTTTTTCATCTTCAGGGAATCTCGCAAAAAGCACGTGAATTTGATCAAAGATCGTCGACTGTTTGAGGCCAAGATCGCAGACATGGAAGAGACCTGCTCACAGATGATGCTGGCCAAATTTGGGAGGCTGGTTGACTTAGAGAAGATAGAAGCAGTGACAGTCAACAGAACGATCGAGGAGCTGAAGGAAAAGCTGAGGAACATAGAATCTGACTGTACTGTGGAGCTAAAAAAAATGGAGGTAAGTGTTGTTGGAGGTAATTATAGTGTTGATGTGAATATTGATGGTAGTAAGGTTTTTGTAGTTGGGAATGTTAATAGTAGTGGTGATTGTGTTGTTGGGAATGGTAATAGTAGTGGTGATTGTGTTGTTGGGAATGTTAACAGTAGTTGTGATTTTGTTGTTGGGAATGTTAACAGTAGTTGTGATTGTGTTGTTGGGAATGTTAATAGTAGTGGTGATTGTGTTGTTGGGAATGTTAATAGTAGTGGTGATTGTGTTGTTGGGAATGTTGATAGTAGTAGTGGTGACTGTGTTGTTGGGAATGTTAATAGTAGTGGTGATTGTGTTGTTGGGAATGTTAATAGTAGTTGTGATTGTGTTGTTGTGAATGTTAATAGTAGTGGTGATTGTGTTGTTGGGAATGTTAATAGTAGTGGTGACTGTGTTGTTGGGAATGTTGATAGTAGTGGTGATTGTGTTGTTGGGAATTTTGAGGGTAGAAGTGATTTTGTTAGTGTAAATGGTGATGGCAGTAATGACTGTGTTGATGTGAATGTTTATGGAAGTGATGATTGTGTTGGTGTGAATACTTATATAAGTGGTGATTGAATTGATGTGAATGTTGATAATATGGGTGATTGTTTTGATGTAAATATTGTTGGTACTGGTGATTGTATTGATGATGATAGTGGTGATTATGTTTAATTTGAATTGTGGTGATAGTGGTGATTATGTTGATTTGAATATTTATATAGTGGTGATTGTGTTGATATGAAAGTTGTGAGTGTTGAAAGTGGTGGTGATTGTGGTTATGTGAATGTTTATGGTAATGATGACTGCTGTAAAATTGATGATAGATGTGATTGTGTTATTTTGAATGTTGCTGTGAATATAGATGATAGTGGTGATTGTTTTGATGTGAATGCTGATGTAAATGTTGTAAAGTAGTTTTGATACAGTACAATAATTATGTCAGTTTAACAATCCATGCTTTGATCCTGAGTGTAACAACCATCCATGTTTTTGATTCTAGTGTAAACAACCATGTTTTGATGCTGACAATTTCAGGCTGAAATTGCAAACAAACAGGATGAGATCATTGAGAAAGTTCGGGATAACACAAAACGACTTCTCCAAAAAGCAGTTTTATTAACAGAACAAAATGAGTACACAAATTCTTTGGACAACAGGCAGAGAAAAGTGGTAAGAGATGCTAGAGTATTTTCAGCTTGTCAAACATCTTTTTCTGCTTTCATCTCCCAGGAGAGTACTCCTGTTATGCAAGTGGTCAATCGAACATACAGTGGTAGACTCTTTTGTTTAGGGGGTGAGGGTGGGGTTGAGGGTGGGTGGGGGGTTAAATATATCTATTGTCACTTGATGTAGGTGATGTAGTCAGCATTGTGCCAGACACCTTTATTTCCCAAGACATTATTTTGTACCCATTTTAGGCTTGGTTGACCTTGGAGCCAAGGTCAGTTTTGAGAACAATCCTCATAGATGCTGTTGTGAAACAGAGATCATTTGGCCAACATGTGAGTGTAACAGAGGGAAAAACACTCATCTGATTAGTTCTGATCCATCAAATCTTTTTTTTTTATCTTGCACTTCTCACTCCATATTCTCCCTGTCTTATTCTTCTTTGTTTCCAGTTTTCTTCTCCATGTTTTTTTTTTTTTTTGGCCTTCCTTTATTTATGTTGCCCTGTTGTGGGGGTTCCCAACAGCTTTAATTGTCATCAGTTCTCGTCCTTTTTAGGATGGAATTTTTCGTTATTTGAAGCCCTACTCTGGCTCTTGCCAGGGGCCGCAATATAGCCTGGCCATAAATATGGCCTAAAGGCTGAACGCGGTTTCTGGGACCTCTCCACAGTGATCCTCACCCACATGGTGGCACATTGTGTCATCAGGTGTTTATCGCTTGTTTGATGTCCTGATGGGGTAAAAAAGTCATGTCAGTCAGTTCCCAACACATGGATTGTGACCTCATTTGGAGCTGCACATGGTAATTTTTGGGCGGTCACCAGATAGTTATGAATAATATAATTTTATTATTTTATTTGGTTATTGTTCCTATTTTTTAACATTTTCACACATTTTGCTTGGATTTAAAATATCCCATGTGTTTCCCTACTTTAGGATGCAGAGTTCAAGGGTCAGCGTCAGACCGATGTCCGAGAAAAGCACAGGCTCATCCAGCTGGTCCAGCTGCAAGCCCAGGAGATGGATGCTCTGAAGGAAGAAATCAATTTACTGTCACGGAAAGGGGGCCATATCCTTCCCCCAGCCCAGGCCCCCTTACCCCAGACAACATAAAACTTTCACAGCAGTAATGGATGATTGTATAAATTAATAAATAATTCATCATCATCATCATCCCGCAACAATACATGTTGCTGGGTCACCATTTTCAGTTGACTGTCTGATCAGTTTGGCAGTCAGTAGCGATGGACTTCATGATTGCATGCCTGAGGCCTGTCCAGCCAATCAGGTTCTGTAACCAGGTCTTTCTTTGTCTGTCTCTTCTCCTGTTTCCCTCTTCTGAGCCCTGCAGTATTGTTTTTGAGAGGCCATTAGATCTTATTACATGTCCATACCATTGCATTTTTTGTCTTTTCACTGTAGTTAAAAGAGGTTCATAGCTACCAATGTGCTGTATAATTTTATGGCAAACTTCTTCATTTGTAATGTGGTCTCTGTATGATATGCCAAGAATTTTTCTAAAACACTGCATTTCTAATGCTTGTATCTTTCTTTCAAGTTCAGCTGTTAAGGTCCATGTTTCACAGCCATTGGTAAATATAAGTATCCGATCTACTTGTCAGCAGCATGGTGCATCTCAGGCAGTATTTCAACCCTAGCGGAGCCCACTCCGCTCCAGGTGGCAATTTCCTCATTAGTCTGTATCCTCACGGATACAGTTTCCAGTCTGCACCATGGGGGAGGTGGGGTAGGCTTGTGTGATCACGGGACAGCAGCAGGCTACTAATTTTCACTTTTCACCCTCCTAGGAGAGCTAGCTGCCCCAACACTGCAGGCCGCAGTGCCAGGCATGACCACACCTTACAGACCTTATAAATAGTTACAGTCTGATAATTTAAAAACCAACAACCTCTGGGTCTGAAGAGTGCGGGTTCTGTAAATATGCCAGATTTTGTGGGTTAAAAATGCTGCATAAAATTAACAGAAAGTAACTACCTGTATAGTCCTTTAAAAACAAAAAATTAAACACTAAATGAAAAGCAAATGAAACTTTAATGTTTAGCAACTAAATAAACGGTTCTACAGAATATTAGTTCAACTGAATAAACTAGTTCCTCTAAATTTTAATTAAAAACTAAACCAAAAAAACTATACAATTTATTTTGAAAATGTGCTCTAATGTCCGTGCTGGAAATCTGAAGATGTACTCCAACTTCCAAGGATGGCCCCAATTAGATGACCCATGCGACATGCTTGTTGGGGAGACAGTGGGTTTATTCTAGTTTTCCCCACAAGGGAGTCTCAGAACTCAACATGGAGAACAGTCTCACTGTATATGTCTTGCATTTCTCTTAAGTGTTGAACATCAGCCAGATCCTCTGTTTCTCGCTGCACCAGTCTCCTTAGCCTGTGATGACCTATTTGTCCCTCTGCACTGTTGACTTGCTCTTAAAGAACCCTTACAACGTCTAGCTTCCCATACATCAGTACACCGCCAAGTGATGCAGAACATACCATTATATCTACCTGATCATTTCCCAACACACCGGCATGACCTGGAGACAATATCCAAAGAATGCTAACAAGCTGGGATCTCTGAAGCAATGCTTGCCACTCTGCACGGAGCAAATATGTCTTCACCTTTCTCGGTATTCCATGTGAGTCCGTTACAATTACGACATGTGTGTGCAGCTGTGTGGTGTTTATTATTGAGTATAGATATTCAAAGTTTCTGACATTTTCAATTTCTTCATTATTTATTGGTTTTTTTCACATGACAGGCAGTAGTTAAGATGTTCTTACAAATACAATAACTGTTATAATATGAGCTTACAGATGTAATAAAAGTTTTTATGTAATCTTACTTGTGTAATAATATTTCATGTTGCTGTAAGAACTGAGTCAAAATATACAGTACTACATGATGTAAGTGCTGAGGTTAAATTGTTGCAGGATTTAAATGTTGTGAGGTCCGCTTACAGATGTAATATTTCTTGTCATTGTAAGAGCTTGGTGTGAATATGTTGCAGGAATTAGCTGATATTTGATGTGCTTACAAAGTGTTACCATGTTTGCTTTCAAGATGTTTGGTCACTGCAGCTTTTGATGCAATTCAAATAATGTCCATGTAAACCTTGCAGTAACACAAATCATATCTGGTTTCACTCTGCTAATTTTGTGTTATTTCAAATTATTTAACTTCTTTGACTGTTGTTTCTGAGTTACTTCAAATGATATTTCTTAAGGGTTTTTTGGGGGTAAGGGGGGAAGGGGGTGTGGTTTCAAAGTATATATTGCTAAACTACATTATGTTATACTAAATCATAACTGGGTTAACCTTGTCTTTTTTTCATTTTAATATAAAGCCCATCTGATTATCTACCATAACAGTTTTAAGACTGCATTTCCTGTATGTATGTGTGTGTGTGTGTGTGTGAGAGAGAGAGAGAAAGAGAGAGAGAGAGGCACACCCCACCCAAACTCACCCACCCACAAACATGCAGTGGTTGGCACATTCTGGTGTCAAGTACCACTAGGCTGCTGTATTTACATCTATAGGCCCAACACATTCAGCTTCATCAAACCACTGATTAGTTCTCTTTTTTGACATGCTTGATAGTGGAAGTGGGTCCCCTTTTTTTTTAAAATTATTTACCCCCGCCCCCCTCCCTTCCTTTCCAAATACGGCTACAGAACATACACAGGATAGTTTATGCGTGGCAAGCTAGATGTGGTCAAAGCCCTTTGGGAGCAAGTGAACCATGCGGAGCGGTCAGAGCTGCAGCCTGGAGTGACCAAAGACTCTGGTTGACACTCTACACTCAAAAGAATGGCAAGACGGACATAATCAAACTGCTACTGTTACTATTAGAATTGGAACTCTGCACTGACTGCTGGAGAGAGGGATGGAGCATTTGTGGGAATGTTGTGAGTGCTGTGATGTTGGTTATATCTCAACTCAACTCATCTGTCTGATTAAAGTGATGAACATTAAAGAGGATGAACTCAAGAAAGGTAAAAAAATCAGAGAAATGCCTGGATCAACAGTTTTAAGACAAAGTCTCTGTGTGGGTTCCGGGGCCCTATAATAGGAAAAAACAAGTATAGACCCACTGCCTACCCAAAAGCATGTTGTAAGAGTCGACTAATTTGAAGCTTCCTTCGAAGTCAGAGTCATTTGCCTGAGAGACAAGGAACCAGCAGTCTGCATACAAATGAGTCAGATCTGTAAAACGGATGCACATGCAACACTCAGGTTCTGGAACAGGACTGCAGTCCAGAAGTGGATGAACAGCCAGAACTTTCTGTCAGAGTTTACAACTGGTGAATGCTAAGAAGAATAAGACAAAGAAGGTGGCACTTTACTGGGCACATCTTGGGGTGAAGTGTACACAGAATCACCAAACAGGCACTGAAATGGGAACCAGTTGGACTGAGGAAATGAAGATTGTGAAGAATGTTGAAGAAGGAGAGAGCGCGACCAAAGGGGTTGGACTGGATTCCTTCCATCATATTGAAATGGTTATGAAAAGAAATTAAACTAAACAAAAAAGTAAAACTAGTATTAGTAGTAGTACATTTTACCCCACTAGGACATCACACAAAGCGACAAACACCTGATGACACAAAGTGGCACCATGTGGATGAGGATCACCAGTGGAGAGGTCCCAGAAACCGCGTTTAGCAATTAGACCATATTGATGGCCTGGCTATATTGTGGCCCCTTGCAAGAGCCAGGGTGGGGCTTCAAAATAACGTAAAATTGCACCCTACAAGGAAGTGACAAACACCTGATGACACAAAGTGGCACCATGTGGATGAGGATCACCAGTGGAGAGGTCCCAGAAACCGCGTTTAGCAATTAGACCATATTGATGGCCTGGTTATATTGTGGCCCCTTGCAAGAGCCAGGGTGGGGCTTCAAAATAACGTAAAATTGCACCCTACAAGGAAGTGAATAAGTATGTAAAAATAGTCAGCTTCAAATTTTTACAAACCCAAATGATAAATGATCGTTATGGTTATAGAGCCTTCATCAGTACATTACATGTGTATAGAATACCACAAAATGAACAAGACTACACAAAGATCACTTAACTGAAGTGCTTCAAAGAGGAATTACATATATGTCTGGCCAGTGGAATGTCTGACACACAGGTGACAACCAGAAATAAATACCAGCAAAAAAAACCTTGTGAACGGCAAGGCCCATAACTAAGAAATATTAGATAAAACTGTTGATTGTTATGTCCTCTATTGAAATCACTGCATAGTTTGAACAGAATGGAGGACTGTGAGTAACATTTGGCGAATGACACAAAAGTGAGATGGTGATAGCGTTCTCCCTTTTCCATCTATATCTACCTATCTCACAACCTCTGTCCCCCTTATTTATATTTAGGATTCATTCCAGGGGTTCCTAAACTGTGTGCCGTGGCACCCCGGGAAGCCGCGACCTCTTCACAGGGGTGCCGCAAAATATCGAAGATATACCAGTTTTTTTTTTAACCTCTTACATACGAATATTCATACTTTTACTTAGGTTAGGACGCCGTGGAAAAATTTTAATTGAAAAAAAGCGCTGTGACTAAGAAAAGATTGAGAAACACTGATATAGTCAGTAAAAGTAAGGCCTACCAGGAACTGAAAGAGTTAACTCCCATAGCCGACTCAGCCCTAAATGCTTTCTATAAATGTCATGCAATGTAAAAGAAATGCGTGGTGTAATTCTGACTTGACAATCACACCCCCCCCCCCTCCCTCCCCAACCACTGCTGGATTTTGGGTTACTTGGTAATCGTTTTGTAGTTTCCTAATATAACTGTGCTGTATGACTTTAATGTTGAATAGGGTTGCTGATATTTGTAGCGGTATGATTCTCATTGTTGAGATGTTCATCCTGTATAATGCAAATCTCGATTGGTAAAACTTAGAAAATAAAATCTGACTTTATCATTTAGTTAATGTCAGATTGTCAAAAAAAAAAAAAAATTATTAGCAACATAAAAAGTTAGCTGCGTGTCCATTACAGGACGTTACAGAACCAACCCCAGCATTTTTTGGCTGTTGTGGTTTGTCTTGGAAAATGTGCATCCATACAGGACACTGGAAAT